CAGATGCAGTGGCATGTGCCTGTAGTCCCAGCTACTCGGGAGGTTGAGGCAGAAGAATCGCTTGAACCCAGGAGGTGGAGGTTGCAGTAAGTCACAATTCTGCCAGTGCACTTCAGCCTGGGCAACAGAGAAAGTCTCCATCTCAATGAATAAGTAAATAAATAAAAATTTTTTTAAGCCTGGGTGTGGTGGCTTATGCCTGTAATCCCAGCACTTTGGAAGGCAAGAGAATCACTTGAGGCCAGGAGTTCAAGACCAGCCTGAGCAACATAGCAAGATCCACTATAGAAAAAAAAAAAGAAAAAATAAACAGCCAAGAAAAAAATTCATTTTTATTAGAAGAGCAAACCATTTGAGGATACTGTATGGCTGATACAAAAACAAACAAAAAAATTAGACTGTTAGAATTTAACTAATGTCTGTTACCAAGAAGGATGAAACTTGTCTTCAGTGAAGGGACAGTTGAAGGTTAAAAGGTAACTTTCACCTACAGGTTGAGATTTGCAGGTAGAATTTCCAGAATGCTCAGTTTCAGCAGGGATCACTGTGAAGAAGTTGGAGCTTATCTCACATGAACTTCTCAGGTGAGAAGGAACTTGACAACTGAGACTTCTCTAATAAGAAGTGACAAAAATTACGTGGGTAATAATTTGACCTTTTTTGTGTTAAAGTCTCTATTGAAATAGAACGCGTAAATGAATGCTCTTAGGAGACCTGCTTAGAGGAAAAACAGGATGGGGATCGTGAACCCTATTAACTCACATGTCTCAAGCCTCTAATGAAAAATTCCTGAGTGAAGGGGGATGAGTAGGATGCTCTGAGCGTAGGGAACTTCGTGAAGCTCTCAAACATGCAGTTTATCAAGTTGCACAGTAGAGTCCTCAACTGATTTTATAACTGAGATTTACTTCTCTAACAAAATCAGACACATAGCAAAAGAATGACTCTGCCAGCCCTTTCTGGAGAGGCATGATAAGTCCTCGAAAGATATTGTTTACTTTGCCGAGTTATCTATTTTTTTCTGTAAATTCTGTACTCTGCCCCAGACTGGAACTTGAAATCTATTGTTCCATCAAATCCATTTCCCCACAGAATGAAGAATGTGGTACCCACTGTGTTTAATATTCATTGTTATCTGTTAAGAACCCAAGTCAATGAGAATCATTCAGAGTAAGAGGGTCTAGGTAGTTAAGGTGGAAAGAATGTGTAGAAAAGAGATCCACACGCTGATTATTTTCTAATAAAACTGTTCATTCTATCAGAAAGTGGAGGGAATTAAATATAAACAGGCACATTTGTTTAAACCCAGTTTCATGACTATTCTGTAGGTTGTTTGAAACCTATTCTGACATCAGTTATTAAATAGTGATATTTTCACAGAAAGGAAACAGCTGAGCTGAAGTTATCCATGTCTGAAGGATTATGCTGTATTTAATTTTAATGTTCAAACCTTGAGAAAATTATATGACTATAAAATATAGGCACAGGTTTCATGAGCTAGAAAGTCCAGCCAACAAAATGACTGTGAGGAGTGTAACAGAGTTTTAAAAAATTAAAAGAGAAAATAACTATGATGGCCACTATTTATTGTGTACTTACTGTGTGACTTTGTATGTAGCCTATCCATGTATCTTTACATATCTTTATATGTACGGACTTTCTGTGGAGTTTATCTCTAATACTTCTAATGATCCTGCAAAGGAGTATTACTATTCCCATGTTACAGATAAGGAAATGGAAACTCAGAGAAGTTATCCAGGGTTAAATAAAGATTTATCCAAGGTTTAAAAAAGTGTAGAGTCAAGATTCAAACCCGAATCTGGCTGGGTGTGGTGGCTCACTTTGGGAGGCCAAATTAGGCAGATCACTTGAGGTCAGGAGTTTGAGACCAGCCCGGCCAACATAGTGAAACCTCGTCTCTACTAAAAATACAAAAGTTAGCCGTGTGTGGTGGCACACTCTTGTAATCCCAGCGAGTTATGAAACTGAGGGAGAATCGTTTGAACTCAGGAGGCAGAGGTTGCAGTCAGTGGAGATCGCACAACTGCTTTCCAACCTGGAAAACAGAGCGAGACTCTGTCTCAAGAAAAAAAAAAAAAGATTCAAATCTAAAACCTAAATCTAGCTGCTAATCCAGGGTACTTTCCACCAGTGGACTCTCTCAGTATTACAAAAATTAGGTAGCTATCAAGTGGAAATTCAAAGACCCTAGTTTTCATAAATTACATCTCAAATCCATAATTAAGAGACATAAATTTGTTTCAAATATATTTGTGTGTATGCATCTTCCAATAAACTTCTAATCAACTTTCTTGATTGAATTCAAATTTAATAGACTTTAAAAATGGAATCGGTTTTATTTCCTTTGCATTTATGGAGCACCTGCTATGCTTCAGGCACTGCTTCAGACACCACGGACATGAAGGCCACACAGTTTCAGTGTCTGTCATTAAGTCTTTAACAGCTGCAATTGTGAACACTATAGCAGGTTTTCAAACATATTAATTTAAAAGGACTGATACAGCTATTAAGTCTTAAGGTCTTATTAGTAGGTTCAGTTTACTTCTTATTTCTTAGACAGAGTCTTGTTCTGTTGCAGGCTGGAGTGCAATGGCAAGATCTCGGCTCACTGCAACCTCCGCCTCCCGGGTTCAAGTGATTCTCCTGCCTCAGCCCCCTGAGTAGCTGGGATTACAGGTGCCCACAACCACGTCCAGCTGATTTTTTTTTATTTTTAGTAGAGATGGGTTTCACTATGTTTACCAGGCTGGTCTCAAACTCCTGACCTTTTGATCCACCCGCCTCAGCCTCTCAAAGTGCTGGGATTACAGGCGTGAGCCACGGTGCCAGCCAAAAAACAAACTGTTTTTTAACGAGGAAGATGCTAACCATCTTATGGAGTACTATTTGACTCTTTAGCACGATGTTCAAGAACCTCCATAATCTCCTTTCCAGTCCCATCTATGGCTTTTTCTATCACTCTAAATAGCCTGGGATCCCACTCTTTGAACAATTTGCGTTTTCCAACAGACTAAATACTTCCCACACCTCCATAGCTCTATCTAGTTTTTCATCCAGGACTGCAAGCTCTCAGGGTTGCCCACGGAAATCTCCCATTTGGAAACCTCCCTGGCAGTTCCAGTGTGAACTAAGCGCTCCCTCCTCAGCACGTCCCCAGCACCCAGCCTCCGTTTCCAGTAGAGAGTTTCACTTTTCATTCAATTACTGATTATCAAAGGAACCATGTCTTAATGATCTGTTTCCCTCACAGTACTCAACGGTGCTCATATAGAATGGCCTTGATAAATGCTGGATGAGTGAAGGAATCTGTTCTCACTTAGCCTGGAGAAAGGGGTGGGGCCACAAGCCCTCTTCCTCCACCAGACTCCATTCAATAATTAGTTCAGCTGTCAAAAAGACACATGTAAAAAGCAATTTTACACAGTGCATTTTCCAGTGAGGATGTGATTCTCTGCCACTAATCCCTTGCAAGACTCCAGTGAAGGAGTGATTTTGAGGGGAGATAAGCTGCGATGTTTTAATGATGTACTCCTCTCCTGAAAAGTGTTTTGAGCACACACATCCCCAAATATACATGAATATGACTTCAGTTAACTCCCCACATACATATACCTATTAGTTTATAAACTATGTATCAGGCTGGGCATGGTGGTTCACACCTGTAATCCCAGCACTTTGGGAGGCTAAGGCGGGTGGATCACGAGGTCAAGAGATCGAGACCATCCTGGCCAACATGGTTAAACTCTGCCTCTACTAAAAATACAAAAAATACAAAAATTAGCTGGGCGTGGTGGCACACACCTCAGTAGTCCCAGCTACTCAGGAGGCTGAGGCAGGAGAATCACTTGAACCCGGGAGGTGGAAGTTGCAGTGAGCCGAGACAGCGCCACTGCACTCCAGCTTGGGTGACAGAGCAAGACTCCGTCTCAAGAAAAAATAAAATAAAATAAAATGAGTATCAGCACTTTGGGAGGCCAAGGCGGGAGGATCACCTGAGGTGAGGAGTTTGAGTTCAGCCTGGACAACATGGTGAAACCCCATCTCTATTAAAAATAGAAAAAGTAACTGGGCATTGTGGCTCATGCCTATAATCCCAGCTATTTGGGAGGCTGAGGCAAGAGAATTGCTTGAACCCAGAGGTGAAGGTTGCAGTGAGGCAAGACTGCACCACTGCCTCCAGCCTGGGCAATAAATGCGAGACTCCATCTAAAAAAAAAAAAATACATATATATATATATATGTATATATATATACCCTACTATATTAATTAACATATATTGTAAAATATATAGAACTAGGCTGGGCGTGGGGGCTCACGCCTATAATCCCAGGGCTTTGGGAGGTCTAGGCGAGTGGATCACGAGGTCAAGAGTTTGAGACCATCCTGGCCAAGATGGTGAAACCCTGTCTCTACTAAAAATATAAAAATTAGCCGGGCATGGTGGCAGGTGCCTGTAATCCC